GCGCTGCGTGGGGCTGTTGTGACCCAAGTGCAGGACCCGGCACTTGGCCTTGTTGAACCTCATACAATTGCATATATTATCATTAATCTAGATCAGGTTCTTCAAAACTCTTGAGAGCCTAAGCTTCAGATTTTTAAATTTATGAATGAAAAAGGAGTAGAAATCATCAACAGGTGTTTGCGTATTACTGGAATTTCATGGTCTCACAGAAGACATTACTGAATCCACCTCCACCTGGAACACAGACGATATGACACAGTGGTTTTCTACAGAAGTGATAAATCTGAACTCCTGTATGATTTCCATTTTTTATCACTAGTATGTGATTTCGCTAAATACTGATCTCATAATAATACTGATTACACAACAGTATCATCTATGGCATTTACGTAAAAAAAAAAATTTTATACTAATTAAAATAAAACCACCTTTTTTTCATCCAGTAAACTAAGTATATATGTATGCCTAATAGAATCCTAATCAATATATAAATCTTAAACTAAGTATGCTTAAACAAACATGCTTAACTTTATACAGATTGGAGTTCAACTGCACACAAAGGCACTGTAATATTCAAAATTAACTTCTGGAGCATCAGCCCCCAAATTTGTCATTTCCCTTAAACAATGAAAGAACTTTCTGTTTCAGTATTCAGACTGGAGACCAACTATTTCCTGAAATCTAGTTTGATCAAAATTCATTTGGTAAATCCATCTAAAATAAAATGTAGAGAATAAAAAAATGAGAAGGAAATGAAAAAAAACTGTTTGCACCATCCAGCTTCTACAACTTTCCTAAAACCAATCCACTACTGTCTCATTTTATGTACTATGTATCTCCTTTACTGTCATTCAATAAGATCTTACCTCACAATTTTATCTGATAGGAACACAGGAGTGACACTTACATGTTGATTAGCACGTTACAAAGATTCACTAATACTCACTAATATTAGTGTGTTACCAAGATTCATTAATAGTACAAAAGCAAAAAGCTAAATGACATGATGAAAACAAAAAAATTGACTTTTCGGAACTGAATTGGGAGATGACCAAGAGATCACTGGAGAAGATCTTTGAACAATGTAAGGAACAGAAAGGGAGTATACATCCAAGAAAGCACAGCCATCCATTTTGGGCTATATTTATACTGCTTTTTAGCATGACTGAGTGCTCATGAGTCCAAACTCTCACATCTATGTTATTAGAATACAAGACTGCACATAATTGCAGCACTGAGACAACTCACATGAGATGACATGTTAGGAGCTTCTAGTGCAACCTAAACGTACTACATTCTGGAGAACCGACAAGCCAAACATGCCATGACCAGTTAACCTAAGACTATATGTTCCATTTGGCCTACAACACTTTTCACATAGACTGTGTCAGGCATACAAATAGACTAGGGAGGCCTTTTTAGAAAGCTTTGATAAGATGTGCCAGAAAGGCAGCTGGAAGTTGTAAGCAGCCCTGAGCTCAGACTGCCTTTCTGTACTCTGGATGTCAGGGTGCCCTGCTGTTGGCATCTTGTTCAGCAGCAGATGCTGACCTACCGGTGTCCTGATGTGAAGGTACAGAGTTGGGTCACAAAAACACTGGATATTTTGGGGGGCCTTGCCTCCTAGGCAGTGTAGAGAGTGCTTTTAGTTAGATCTAAGTGTAACAGTACCAGGAATGAAACTTCAGCTTGAAAAATGATATATTTTCATGACTACTATTCCTGCAGTACCCTTTCCATTTGAAACACTTAACACCTGAATGTGCAGTTAGCTAGCTGAACAGCTGTTGAAATATGAGATCAGTTCAAATAATTTTGGGGAAAAGAGGATCATTGAATCAAACTTTCAGAGGAAGAAAGTGTAAGTCCCACAAACACGATTCCCACAATGGTGCTAGTTCCCAGAAGTGGTGATTTTTATATGCTAATAAATATATCAGATAAAAATAATCAGTCCAACAATCAGGTTAATCTCTTTCCATTTTCATGTTTTCCCACTTGTCTCAGCTTAATTTTAAACAGTAGTAAGTTCAGAATCTCTATGAATAACCACACAAAACCAATATTTTTATAAAAAACTAATACAGAATTGTTGTAACAAATTATTTTGAAAAAGCAAGCGATTCAAATTCTTAGGTCCTACCTTCTCCAGTAAAGAGTCCATTAATGACATCTAGCGGGAAAAGTTAGTATTACTTCTAATTTATAGATTAAATGAAAACATGACCAAAAAAACCATGCAGCAACAATTTGCTAAAAATGCACTTGCTTGATTGCAGCTGATGCTAAGCAATTGCCATTTCTTTGAAAAATTTATGTTAGTATGTAGTGTAGTTGAGGAAACAGTTTCACCTTAAGAACTTAATAGGTAACATGTGCACACCATTCCCTATGTCTTGGAAAAGCTCTTGAAAGTACTCTCCTTGCCAGGGCTGTTCTTAGTGACTTCCGAAGAAATACAAGGGCAGTTACTATAGTCTCTGATTATAATCATTTTGACAACAAAGTAAAATGCACAACAACATGGTCAAGAACTGGATCTTAACAATCAATTTTTAGGATTGTAACTTCCATGTTTGGTTCCTATCTAGTGCACAAAGTTATGTTTCTCAGAACTAGATTAAAAACTACCAAGATGTTGAAAGGAACACTTACAAGGCCTAGCCATGAGGAAAAGCAAAAGGTGGGGCTGTGCCATAAACCATAGTTAATTCATGTTAGCAAAAGCCACAAAGGAAAGTATCTGTCTATCCAGGGATCTCTTAGTACTTCATAATGAGCAGTCATTGGGTAAAAAGCAACAGTTGCTGGAATTGGGCCCACTTAAGGAGCTAGCAAAACCACTAGACGACAGAATCAGTCCTGGAACAAATGTTTTTAATTAATTTTCATGCAGCTGCACAGACAAAATGGTCTACAGCCAGGTGGTCGTGGCACTGCCTAGAGACACAGCAGGTGTGACTTGGCACATTTTCAGGAAGAAATAACTAAACCTGCACCTCCTTTCTTCCCAGCAGTCCTTGACTTCTATCGTCTTTCCAAGAACAAGCTATCAGTGACTTATGCACAGAATCTGCTCTTGTTTGAATGCCTTAAGCATGTTTTGAGTACTCTTACTGGAAGAAACATTCAGGGAATTTAACAGAACAGCTAGTTTTTACATGAAGGTAAAAATAGATAAGAGGAAGCTGAGCATTTTCAGGTTCATAATTCAGCAGTTAAGGCTCACTTTAGAAGTCTAAAATTATTTTTAGATCTGGCCCTAGTTCATTGAGAAAATGTTTACCCACAGCTGAAATGTATGAGAGATTACTACTTTCAGTTTAATAAAACATTTCTGTGGTTTTTACTTTAAATGATCATAGACAAAATTTTGTTTATGACCTTGTTAAAACTATTTTCTTAAAATAAGTATTTAAGTAAAAAAAAAAAAATTAGTCACAAGTGGTCCTTGGGGAAGAAGATTGCTCAAACTGGAGAAAAAAGATGAATCATAATTTCTATGCTAAACATACTTTGTAGTATATTCATCAAGCTTGTATTGACATGCCATGAGAAAGACAAACTCACAGACACACGTGTATTTATTCTGAAATCTTGCATGTGTTCTTCATACTCTTTTTGAGATCATGCAATACTAGAGTAGAAATGTAACTTCCAGACCTACATTAAGCCATACAATTTATCCTGTATCCTCCTGTGAGTATGCAACACGTGATTTCTCTCAATAAACCTTTCTTTTTGTACATCTATAGATTTATATTAGAGAAGTGAAGACTAAAAATGCCCAACTGTTACATGAAACCAAAACCAGCTACATTTTTGAGCATACATGTTTATTATTGGGACATGCAGTAGTTTCACATCTACTGAAACCACCAAGTAAAGAAATGGAGTGTACCACTAATAAAAACCAATAATGATCAATAAAAAGCTCAGTAAGTCACTCGTTTCATACGTCTTGTACACATACAGTGCATCCTTCTGTTCATCACAGTCTGCAGCAGGAAAGGCAGGGGGTTGATTATTTTCTTTTGAAATAAATACCCCCAGATAAGAAAATTACTTTAAGAATCTGTAGGTATTTCTGTTTACCAAACCTACAGTAATCCACTCCAATTAGTGCGGACCAGCCAGTACACAGAGTTCTCAATAGTGAGACATCTATATAAGCTGGATCTTCAGAACGTAAATGAAACAATAAATGCCTTTGATGGTTTATAACCAAACAACATTACTACAGCAACTTTAAAGTCCTCTCTGCTTAAATAGCCTTTGTTATCTTCATCACACGCTTCAGAAATCTACAGAAAGTGACTTGCATTATAAAACAATAAACCTGACCTAATATTTTTTACTTTGAATAAGTGTTATGGGAAGAATAAAATAGGCACTTGCTGAAAAAATGATACTATTTAAAAAACTATTGAAGATTAGTCACATCTCTGTCAGAATTCTGTTCATCTACTCTGTTACAGTAGCTGAAAATGGACTGAGGCCATTTAATTTTAAATTTTTGTTAAGTTAAAGTTTTCCTACTTCTACATTTTATATGCTTATTATGAAAAGGCTTTTTGCACACTCAGAATATATGGTACAGACTTCTAGAAACCAAATTACATTAAATTTATTTCTGCAAGATCTTGAATTTTTTCTTGAAAAGCGCCAGGCATCTTTAATTCTCAGCTAAGTCACAATATAGACAGGAACTATGAGGAGAGACTGGAATGCAAGCATAGTCAGAAGCCACCAAATTTTCCAAAGTACTTTTAGAAAACAAATACCCTTTCCAGAGGCTATACTTAGACAAGAGGTTATGCACATAACATAGAAAAACATGCAACTTTTCTCAGAGCTTTTCCCACAGAAGACCTTCTGCTAGGGTTGATAATAAACCATTTAATCTCATAGTACTGAAGAGCATATCCAGAGATAGATTCAGGAAGAAGCATTACATGCAACTCTGCAGAAAAGTACTAATAAAAATCACACAAACAGGTTGAAATTTCATTAATGTTTTTCTAGGTGTAGCTTGCCGATTTTCTTGCACGCTGATACAAGACGCTTACGCTAACTGCAGTCACAAGCTTGTAATAAATTAGAGTAATGAGAACCAAACGCCGAGACAGTTCATTTTGGTAGACAGAGCAAGCTTTGATGTAGTCCATGCTCTTCCTTTGATTAATTTTACACCTGTTTTCCTTCCACCCCCTTCTTGAAGTCGTCACGCAGTTATCTCATTAGCAGGGCACTTCAGACACAGTAATTAACACCGAGCTGAATGAACGATTATGCAAATGCTGCACCTGCCCTGAACTAATACTAAGGTCAAATAAAGACTTAAAAGATTAATTCAGCTCACTAAGACGTGACCGTTTTGCCGGTTTAGCGGCTTGGAGAGAGATGCCAAAGCTGCTCGAGCGCCTCTCGACGCCCGCGCGCCCCTGGGAGGCCGGAAAGGCCCTTCAGGCATCGCCGGGCCCCGAAGGGTCGGTCCCGCCGCCCCTCGGGCTCCTCCCCCCCCGTCGCACCGCGGCGGACGGGGAAGCTCCCTTCGGGCCGCGGC